CGATCGCAGAAAGGAGGTCAGCACTGATCCTCTGACGCTGCGAAATGATGAGGTGGATGCAGGAAGGATGTAAAACAAGAATAAAATAGGACGTTGGAACAGAAAAGCAGGGTAATAAAGGTTAAAAAGAAGATGAGGTAAAGGCAAAAAAATGTGAAGATGAGTGTACAAGAAAGCGTGCAGAGAGCAGAGAAGAACGAGAACACAGGGAAGGGGTGGGGAGAGTTCCTGCGAGATACGAAGTATTTTGGTGCCAGTCCAGTATTGATTCAAACGTTGTCCAAAATCAGGGCCGGAGTGTTTTCCAGGGCTAATTCTAACACACGCGATTCTGTGAATCAAAGGGAGTTTACAGAACGCAGAAAAATCTGCTCCATCGTGTCCAAAACTATTCTGCCTCTGGAAAATTGCTGTGGAGGGCCAGACGAAGCCCACATTACGGAAGTTCAACTCCGAGTTGCAGTTTGCGCTGCTGCGTTACCAAAAGGAAAGTGAAGAGTATTTTTAGATTAAACTAACGTGAATGCAGATCATCAGTTTTTCAGTGGAATTTCTCCTCTTTCAATCCTTTTTCTTTGATATAGGTGAATCTGTCCTACTAACATCAGTCGTTCAAACCAGTGAGGACAAAATAACTACAAGGAACTGTCAAAAAAAAGCAGAAATATGAATAGAAAATAGTCTCCGGGAAAAAACGTTACTACTGTTGGAAATTATCCCGTTAATTATACACGTTAAGTACAGAGGTTTTTGGATTTATCCTTTCTGAAAAGAGAGTACTTCCTCCCGCCCCCTCCCCAAGTTAGAGCAGAGTATTTATTTGAAAGAAAGGAGAATAGAACCCCACATGTTCTTACTGGCCAATGGAACTTTATTACTGTATAATCGTACCGTCTCTGTCAAACGGGTGAAGAGGAAACTGTGGTGATGTGTGGATTGAGTAGGTTGCCCAGAGAGGTGGTAGATGCCCGATTCCTGGAGACATTCAAGGTCAGATTGGACGGGGCTCTGAGCAACCTGATGTAGTTGAAGATGTCCCTGCTCACTGCAGGGTGGGGTGGACTAGATGGCCTCTAAAGGTCCCTTCCAACCCAAACCATTCCATGATTCTATGAACTAAATTGCTTAATGCCTTGAAATCGCCTTCCCTTAAGTCAGTTCTCTGGAGAGGAGAATGAAAATAGTTTGAAAGACCTACCAGAGCAGGTGAAGGCCTGTAGATGGTCTCGTACTTACCCTGAGGCGCACACACAATCTAGAGCTCACCTTGGGAGATCAAAGTGGTGCCAATACTCTGCCTTTGCAGTTACCCAAAAATTGTTGTGTTTTTTTTTGCAAATGAAAAAACATAAATGTCATAGTTTTATTGTAAGTGACCAGTCTGACCTGCCCAGGGTCACCGAGTTAAGTACTTCTAGAAGCTCCCCATCCCTGGAAGCATTCAAGATCAGGTTGGATGGGGCTCTGAGCAACCTGCTCTAGCTGCAGATGTCCCTGCCCATTGCAGGGGTGTTGGACCAGATGACCTTTAAGGGACCCCTCCAACCCAAACTATTCTGCGATTCTATGAAGTTCATTCTGCAAAGCCTCACATACGCTGCCGCCTGCAGCCCTTGGGACCAACAGGGGCTTCTCTTGAAAAAGCAGCTGGCACCAGCTGCTATCAGGATACGTCCAGCCTGCTGGCGACGGATTGACTGACTTTGAGCTTCATGCAGAGACACTCCAAATGGATAGGCCAGTCTTGTCTCAAGCAGATCTTGATGGAGACTGTGTGCAAGCATTAGGTATGGGAGAGAATCGTATCGGTGCAGTCCCTCTGCTAAATTTCCTCCTGGACGTGGGTAAGGGCTGTTGGGATCTTTTCACAAGTACTTACAAGAAGCCAATAAAAACAAGAAGTGAACCCCACAATCTTCAAATAAAAAAAAAAACAAACTGAAAATGTTGATTAAGGAGGGACAAAAAGTTCTGGGAAGCCACAAATCTGAATAAATAAGCATCAATTTTATTGAATCATGAATAATTTAAGACTGGTACAATCATCAGCTTTATTTTCCATGACACAAGGGGCGGGGAAGGGGGGAGAAACGGGGAGGGTGAGAAAGGGGAGGCATGATCTCAAACAGACCATTCACAAATTCCAATCCTAAATGAGAACTGAAAATTAAATAGGGAGAGGAGCAAATGGAAAACATCATAAATGTACACAAAATACTCAATTCCTAGTTTTTCTCTTTAAAAATGGCTAGAAAAAATTCATCAAAATGCAGCACTTTAATCAAATATTTACATTTCTATGTTACAATGAAAAAATGTACATCTTATAGAACATATTTCATAAACTGTTCCACTGGAAACGACTAGATCAAAACAGCAACCCTCCATTTAATATCGACAAAAGAAGATTTTTTTGCTTTTTGTATTTTTTTCTTGAAAGAAAATTGCCACATTTAGACAAGATTTCATACACATAATATCGAAGTTAAGCATCAACAACGAAATATCAGTTTGCTTCTTCCAAAATGTACAAAAAGGCTAACCAACCCCCTCCCTCCCCTCCCCAAATAAACCACATCTCATTTATGGCCTGTTTCATTCTTGGCAGTTCTGAAGGAAAAAAAAAAAGGGTTTAAACTTCCAAATTACAACTCAACATGAATGTTGCATAGAATCTTCCATTTCTGTCTTGTTAATCTTTTTTTAAACAAGCCAACTTTACTAGGAAAAAAAGGAAAAAAAAAAAAAAGAGGAAGCGTTTTGAAAAAGCCTTAAATGAGAACAAAGTCACTTAAAGAAAGACTTAATCTATGAAAAGTCTTGATAAAAACTAAGATGTGTGCACAACAGGTAACCCTGCTTCCCGAAGTTTCAGAAAACACACTGAATATTGTGATGCTTAGAATGACTAACCTACTCAAAATTGCCTCTCTCACTGTAATCCAAGCTAGTGTCAATAAAAAATAACAGATAACAGAAATTCCTTCCTGAGCTTCAGCACAGGATTAAAAAGGAGAAGAAACCCCACCCCGTTGCCCACAAATAAAACGCCATTTTCAACATGTCTTACAGCACTCAGTTAAAGGTTAACTGAGACGTTTTCTAGGATATTACGTCCGTTTAAAGCCCTAGCCCTGCAACTGGATTTTTTTTACAGGCACATGCTCTGTCTGCATGGATTCAGTTGGGGGATTAGGTACCAAAATTCACAGTAGTAGCAGGGTAAAAATCAGTGCTGGGAAGCAGAATTGTCAAGACTACTGGAAAAATTAACTTCTCTCAAACTCATCATCAGCATGCTATGTATTTGATTCCATACAGATTTATCCCATTTTTACAGTACCAAGAACTGGATTAGGAACATTGGATGAGTAACCCTTGGTATTTCATTCAGTGAAATAATGAAATAGAGTTCATAAGGTTAAAACAGTAACAACACCAAGCTTCCCCCCCCTAAAATATTTAGATTTTTCTTTTACAATATTTTTCTTAAAAAAAAAAAAGAAGAAAGTCATCAGCACTTAGAAGTTGTAACAGGAGCAGATTCAAGACCAGCTCAGTAAGACAAAGTACAGTTATGTTACAGAAAGTCATGAGGTATAATAAAACGATGCTCTCAAGCTGAGTCACAGAAGCATGAACTTGTCTGTTATATTACTTTAAACCCACAAGCTCTTAAAAAAGTGCTTGTAGTAAGTTTTCTTTCTGTACATTGAAAAACCCAGCATATTCCTGTAATTTATTAATGACAGCATTTATTATAGTCGAAAAGCTTTTTTTTTTTTTTTTCCTCCTGCATGGATAAAACAGCTCTTCAGTGATTATTAGCTGCAGATTGATATGAACCTGAAAAGTTAGCTCATTTCCCTCCTTTTTTGTCACATTTAAACAATTTCTAGTATCTCATACAAACAATATTCACAGCAACTTATGATATTCCAAGAGATGACTTTAGCCCTGTTTCTTTAAATAAAATCCCGTAATATACATCACTAATTTAATCAAACACAATTTGTACAAAATAAGGCATCGCTTTAAAAGTCAGCACCAAAAGATAGCTGGAAAGGCTCGTACGAATCCGTATTGAGGAGTGACGTTTTTGCTGAGGTACAGCTGTGGTGACAGTGGTGTAAGCATTTGCTTCCGTAAAAAGGAAAGTGCAAATCTCTGGGGGGTGTTTTTGTTCCCCAACAGAAGTACAAGCCTTAACACTGATAGTGTAGGTGTGTGCGTTCAGAGAGGAGGAGAAATAAAACCAGGTTCACAGCTCTGCCATAACTCGAAAGCGTGGCCCAGCTAAACTTAAAAGGCGCAGTACCTTCCCTCCTTTTTTTGACTTGAATACTGCTAAAATACTCTCTTTTTTTTTTTAACAATTAAAAAGAAAAAGTCGTAGAAGTAAATGTTGTCTCCAGACTCGCACTGGAACTGTCACAGAGCTGAATTTTAATTTATGGTTGTGCTGATTGGAACGAAACCTCTGAACAAAACCCAAAGTTCTTAGAAAACAGCTGTAACATTTCACGGCAAGAATTAAAAACTGAAAAAGTCTGAAGAATCCCTTTTCAGGGGTGTAGCTCACCTCCGCGTACGGGGCTCCCGACGCCTGCGCACCCCTGAAGGTCCCTTGGAGCTGCAGGACTCCGCGGGGCACGGCCCTTTTGCTGACTTCTGCGGAGGGAAACTCACTCTCCTCAGTGTAAATAACCCGGGTGTAACGCCCCTGAAGTCAACCCAGTCGGTTACGTGGATGTAAGTGGGAAGAGAATCAGGCCCTGACTAGCAAAGGGCTACCTGACCTTTCACTCGTAGTAGGATTGATTGTAACACAGTGTTTGAAAAAAACCTGATTTGTTCAGACTGTATATATATTTCTATATATTCCTATTTTTACATATATCTTTATAAACACACAATGAAAGAAAGCCAAGGTCTCAGACTGGCAAGGAGAGCAGCGCTTTTTATCTTCCTTTTTATTTTATTTATTTAATCTTTTTCCCTATTTATTCAAACTTCCCTGGTTTGCAGGTTTGCCTTCATTGAGTATTATTACCAAGGCAAGCGATATTCTTATAGCACCAGAACTATATGAGCTGAGTCTAAGCCGCAAAGCTGATTGGTAAAAGTCCAGCCCTCACCTAAATGTGTTTGGTCAGAAGCAGCATAGGCAAAAATTTCCTCTCCTTCCGGACAGTACATGGCACAAAGCTGTTTGCTTCATAGCTGTGAAATCCCGCCCCCCGCCCCTTCAACTTTTTGTAACGATGATTATTTTGAACATCTTCAGTATTTTAGGCATGAGAGCTTACAGCAACTAAACAGAAGAAAACAAAGGAATAGTGCAGTAGTTCTCATCATCGTCAAAAGAAAAACACCACAAAGGTTGCTTGGGTTGCCTGCACCCAGGTTCAAGACTGACTCCAAGTGTCTTGGTGTTCTTGCAGCTCTAATACTGAGATCCCAGCCCAGGAACGTGTTCTTTTCATGAGTCTGCGATCAGGGTTCTTGCCAAATGGGAGAGCACTAATGGAAACAACCTATTTCTATCTGAGGAAGATCACAATGTGGACTCCAGAGATGAATCGAGGATGTCATCATGATGGCTGTTGCTGTTGGAGTCACTGTCGTAACTCTGGGGACTTGAGTAGTTGGCTGCTTCTTGCAGTCTCATTAGCATGTTCATCTGCATAGGCACAGAATTAATAACTGATACTGAGTCTCTGAAAAGAGATATTAGCTGTAAATTGTATTATAGCCACATGCAAGTTAGTCCTAAGAAGTAAAGGTAAAAATGAGAATATTGAAGGGATTAGTCCACAGCCGTACTCGACAGCGTTCTGCAAGAACCCGACCCCTCTCCTCCTCTGACCCACAGAAATATGGATCAGTCAAAAGAGGCAAATCCAAATGTCCTAATATCTAGCTTGATATTTGTAGATGTATATATGAGCTAGTAAAAACTGTAACACACATTCCATACTCCCAACTGTCCAGAAAAATGCACAATTCAACAGAACAGCTTCAATAACTGTTTCCCACTGGAAGAAAACGTGTATTTAGTGTTACCTTCAAGCTCAACTTATACATTCCATACAAATACGTGTTAACATTTCCCTATATGCTTCTGTGGTATTTCTGATTCATGAATTAGACACCAGTCACGGAGAATATTAGTTCATATATTCTTTGAAAAAATCAATTTTCATTTGGTGTCAAGAACACAGCTCTAAAAGCCATTTCACAGTGAAGTAAAGCAACAAGCCTACTTCGTGATTGTGGCAAAACAGGCTACATGAAATGGTTCCACTGTGTTATTCAAGTATGTGTAACAAGATCGCACATTTAATTCCAGTGTAGAAATTAAGTTTATTACAGACATCCTCATTCACTCTGCAAAAAAGGAATCCTCAAAATATCCTCAACAAACGAACCTGAAAAGCTTCGGCTGCTGTTTCTTGCAAAACTGTATGGGCTGTGCAGATGTATTTCCCTAGCTGACCCGACGACTTCCCTAGTAACATTGCCTTCTCATGCTAAAACTTTCAGTGACTCCTCAGCTGTCATGTACTTTCTTATTCCTGTTTCTAATCCCTAGAAACAAGAGAAACGAAGAGCTCTGCTGTTTCAAAAATGAGAGCTTACCAAAGGATCTCCTTCAGCATCACTCACAGGAACTTGTTTGCTGGTCGAGCCTTCGCGTGACATTGAGTAGCCGTCAAAGCCCACGTCTTCAGGCCGCAGCTGTAGCAGAGGAGGCCACTCATGGTGCTGTGGGGTGGCCACCCAGGGGTAGGTGTCCATTACCCATTTTGCAGGATCCTCCCAGGGCGCTCTCCTCCCGTACAACTGGAAAAGCATAAAACCACGTAAAACATTCCTACTGGTCTACCATTTTGTCCAGTGCCTACCCAACCAAAACGAATGCGCCGTGAGTTTTGGATTGCAGGAAGATTTCCCTTACCCTAATGACATACAAAGTTTTATCTATTTTTAATGCCAACTGATTTGGAATAGGCTGACCACCTCCTCTAAGACTGCACTGCCTTTCTCTTGGCACCAGTTTAAGAAAGGGAGACCTGAAAATAACCTCACTTAATAAAGTTAACTTAAATAAAGTCAATACACAAAGGAGGCTGTCAATGTTGACATCCGGATTGCACCAGCAGCTGCCTTATCTAGGTTTGCGGTCATCGGAAAACCGCCGTCAATGGAGTGTGTTGGAGGAAACGTGAGACCTGTCATGAGGCAATAATGACGGATGTCATAGCAAAAGGTTTTCAAGTCAGGGAATTTCTTTGTATTCAACCAAGAAAAAGCACCAGCAGGATTTGGCTATGTTCATGTTCCATTTTCAAGTAAGCAAGATGTAGTTCAAAAACTTTTTCTGTTTTGAACAGATTGTGTTACTGAATCCCAATGTATTCTTCGTGTAATATTCGGTTAAATTTGCCTTAATTAGATAATAAATTTGTTTTAATGCTGCATGACTTTCAAAAGCAGGAATACAACTTCAAGTTACCTTAAAATGTTTACTTCTGCTTAATAAATTTCAGCCTGAACATCCTTCAGCAACTGGCGTTTGTCACTGGCATTTTGTCACTTGAATTCAGAGAAGTCCCCCTTTCCCGCACAACACATGGGGGAAAAGCAGCGGTCTAGCAGAGAAACCCATCATCTCTCCGATGGATCAAAGGCTACCTCACTTTCCTCATCGCTATGTCTTCTTGGTTTTCTGTGGGTTTATTGTTTGCACACACCCATTTTGTTCTCCTCCCCATTGCCAAACAGGAACAGTTAGGGCAGACCTTTGAGCTTTTAAGTGCTGTTCTTCACTTTGCCGGAAGCTGTTGGAACATTCTTGCACCACAGAAGCAAACTACCGCTTCCAGTGCAACCAGGTCCCCAAAATGCTGCATCCGCACAGCATGCAAAAGACCAATTTCATCTAGATGCAAGGTTAATGAACCCAAATCTGATCTTCCTGCATGGTAGTGGAGTGTTCCTGCAGGTATCCATCACGTCAGTGCTGTCAGAAAGGCACCTTGACGGAGAATCCTAGGCAAGACTACAGAATAACAACGGCTTTCATTCTACATGATGTCATGTAGCTCACAGCCTAACCCTTTTCTTTGAAAATTCAGCTGTGATAATTTACACACACTGAATGAAGTCTTTGATTCTACTAAAGCCTCCCTGTAAGAGTTACAAGAAACTTAAATTTAAGTGAAACATAGACGATAGATGTGAATGCCAGCTTCGTCATAGACGGCTGCCAAATGCCATGCACAAACCACAAAGTATTAAATTGCTGCGAATACCAACATCTGCCTTATTCTGAAGCAGAAGTGAGCGCGTCCCAGCCCAGAGCAGAGGTGCCCAGCAGATGGTGCTAGGCAATCTCAAACACAGCCTCTTCCACAAACCCAAATACTCTTCACCCTTCAGCTGTACTATATTATTTTCTCAGTGCAACATCTTCAAGCTGTGGTAACCCAGATCTCCTATTTTAATCCCGTTCTCGAATTTTCAGCAATACACGTCAGTTGCTAAGCAGAGAGGATTTTACGTTTTTCACGTCTTTGCTACCTAGGAGGTCTGTGTGGATCCTACCTCGTTTCTAAAAATTAGATAATACGTAAAATTCCTATTTCAATACATGAAATCAGCATGTATCCTCAGCAGATGAGAGGCTGAATAACTAACTCACTATTCCCTTCCACAGCAACCAGTTCTGTCCATCCCTTGCTGTGCACATTTTCTAGAGGGCAATTAAGGGGGCAAAGATCAAACAGGTTGCTTCACAAACCACCAGAAACGACTGTTGCACCAGTGATGGTGGCAGGAAGCTGAAGTGACTCTGCGTCCTCTTTTTGCTGCTGCTGCATTCTATATTGATACACCAGGCAGGAAGAACTGGGGTTTTATACAACCCTCTAATTTTCACATCCCTGTTTTGAAGAACAAAAAAACAACTCAGCTCCAATGGGAGCAATTATTGTAAGGATCCATTTGGCTCACTTGTCTTTGACCCAAGATAGTTCTCTAAATGAGAAACAGAAATATAAAAATAGTGCAGGTTAGATCCACAGAGATCAGAGTGAAATCAGCAGTCCACCCTTCCTTCCTGGCAGGCAGCTCCATGAGAGAAGGATGTGTTCTTGGAGGAGCCTTTGTGGGTGTGACAGAAAATAACCCAAAATGAAACACACATTTCTAGCATCAGCTTGGTAATTAGCACAACTCTGGCTATTCTTCAAGTACTGAAGTTTTATTCTTATCCACAGACTCAACAAAAGAGAAATTCTAGAGTAAATTGAGAAATTATTTAAATGGAAATGAATTTGCTGAATTTGGGGGAATGGGACTGAATTCCCAGTCTGAATGGGACAGACTCTACAGCACCAAGTGAGAAACTGAATTCCTTACACTCAATGCAAGCCATTCAAATAACCTAAGGAAAGATGCAGATATCAGGCAAAACAAACAAATAAAAAGATGGTTTTATTAATTTTTATTCTGTCTCTCCACTTCTGTTCCTAATTTTTCAATGCTTTCCACATCTACTGATCAGCCTATGGAAGAGCTTCAAAACACAGTACAAGGAGCCCAAGCGTCACTGTGAGTTATCAGTTTTCTGCCTTCCAAGAAGACACAGTGTCACACGCTCTCCTGTCACTTGTTTTAGGTCAAGAAGATTATTTGCTCCCAAAACTTTATAGGAATTTTTATGTAGAATGGTTCCCCCGTTCTCCTTCTAGCAAAGTTCCTCTGTGCGTGTTGTACGTCGGGCCCTGTCATGTTCCTCGCCTCTAAGCGCTTAATGCCATCGTCTCAAAGAAAAGGAGGTCTCCAGGCACTGGCAAATTTCAAACGACAAGCACAGTTTGCACAAATTCTGACCAAACTTTTTGAAGAACTCATCTATTTCATAGAAGTGTGAAGAGCCATTAGTAAAAGCTGTTTTCTGTGACAGGGTTGTCTTCTCTGCTAGTACCTATAAACCTCTGCTGCGTAGATAGCAAATGAAACTTAAGGTAGTCGTTAACTGGACAATGTAAAACCCTTTTTTTTTTTTTAATTACTTCATCAATTACTCAGACTAGTGCATCTTCATGATTTCTCCATTTTCTGCAGAGTACTCCCATGCAGATGAGAGCTGAACCTCCAACACAGAAAGGGTATTGCACAGAAAAGAAACGTAACGAAGCAGCAAATCGAAACAAAATCCCAGTCTTTTCCAAAAGAAATATTTCACACTTTTTTCACTTATCTTTATGGCAAGGCATCCTGACAGATACTGCAATGGTGAGCCCTAAGCAGGATGGAGGGAACTCTTTTTCACAAACATGAAGGAACCATTCTGCAACACAACTGGTTCTCCGTGGAGCTCGTACTTGGGAGTTATTTCATATTTCAGAAAGACTTCAGACATAGAGACATGTGACGGAGAATCTATTACTTCTACAAGTAAAATTTCGTAACTGTTATTTATTCTTACTAATAACAAGCCGTGTCTTGCTTACAGTTTGAATTTTTCTAGTCCAAACTTGTCAAGCATCCTAGACTTTTTTTCCTTGCAAGACTAAAGCAGAAGACTCTCATAGACCACGTAATATTTTAGCTTCTGCTTGAATAATCAGAATGGTTTGAACTTCTCTTCTCTCTCATTGAATAATGCTTCCTGTATCTGCATGATACCCACTAAACACTTTCCACTTTATCTTTCTAATAAGTCTTTTTACATCCAGAAGTACTATTCTCTTCCTACCTCTATCAGATGCAATTACAGCTTATGCCCTCAAAATGGCATTTGTCCTCTTATCAAAACACAAGTTCCCAATGCTTGCTGCGATTTCCAAATCTTCACCTATCTTTAGCCCTTTTTCGATCTTCTGGACTCTCACTGTGATCCCTTTTTATTTCTCTGTGTGTGATCTCATGTTTTAGCTTTCATGCATGCAATGCCCAGAATTTACTGATATTTGATTACACTATCTCCAAACCTGTCTTTTCAATGTTGTACTGCCGTGCTGATTCTATGAACAGAGGACTGAAGAATAAAAAAAGGTCATTTTTTCCATAGTTGCATGGCAAGTCCATAGCAATCCTCTGCTGACCCCTCCTCCCGCTTCCAACATGCTTCATTGTCATAGAGGCGCTAAGAACTGTGTGGTAACGCTTAAGACTAGCCAAATTGCTAAAATATGACTCAGTTTCTCAGTACAGGCAATCAGTGATGATTTCACTATGGCCTCTGAAAGAATTATGAAGGAATCTACTAAGAAATTCATCCTGTAGACTGAGAAGTAATCAAAATGTCACTGATACTGATCCTGTCACTCATTAACACGTTTCTCTCCACACACAGCTTTGTTCCTCCTCTGCTGAAAGATGCTGCATAACTAAGTTAATGACCACAAACACGTTTTTCAGATGCACAGTACAATTTTGAGGTGCGCTTCTGGAACAGATTATCGAAACGTGTTTGGGTGTCTAACTCCCCACACTGAAAACGTCAGTAGTTTGGCATCTAAACACTTCTCAAAAAAATCTACCCCGGACTTTTAGTGCTTCCACTCCATATTTCAAATTCGTTTAGGGAGAATAATTTGTTTGGAGAGAGTAATTTAGATGTCATCATGTAAAATCTAATGACAACTTAGATTACATTTTCACAGACACGCAGATTTTCAGTGTGCAAAGTTCCATCTACAGAAAACGATGCCGTTATTCAGTTTTGTACGGTGCTGTGTTGCTTTTTGAATAGATGCCGTTCAAGACCTATGATTTTTCAATTTTGCCTGCTCACCTGTAACCCTTCTCTAACTGCTTCCAGAAGATATGGGATGATGGAGTAGTTCCACAAGTCAGTAAACCAAACTCTAGAACCATCTACGTCTATCGGACAGGAGAGAAAGAGCCGTGGACCTGGTGAGGGAAATTCAGATATTACACTCAAATCATGATCATGATATGCATCAAAAACAGGATCCAACAACAATCTGCAGTTCTTTGGAGAAAGAAGCCAAGGAGGAGAGAACATAAGTAGCTAGCTGGTGAATCGCTCTTCCTGAGAGCTTAAAAATCCTCTGAATCCATTTGAAAAACTACACCCTTCAAGGTGAAAACAGTTAACCAGATTTCGTAACAGAGTATCCAGGACTTAGAAGTTTTTTTTTTCTTAGAAAAAGGAAAATAAAAAGGTTTAGAAACATCTTGTACAGACTCTCTGCCTGAGAGTACACTGCCACCTAAAAGTAAGGTTTTAAAGAAACCTTTTTTTAACCTGATACAGCGCAAGGAAACGTACAAGGATGCACCTGATATACGAAGAAATAATATGCATATATTTACATATGCCTTGGCATATGGGCAGAGCACTTACCAATAGTAACATCGGAGGAGCTGTGAGCTTCCAAGAATTTGTTCAGATGTTGCCAGACCTTGGGAATCCAATCAATAATTTTAACCAGCTCTGCATTTCTCATCCTGCCACTGATCTCTGTTTCAATTAGTTTTCTCCTCAAGAATCGTCCGAGAAAGCCTTTGACCGGCTCAGTGTGGTTAGCACATAGCACCCATCTATGGCAGAACCGCAGAAATGCCCATTATTTCTCTTTCATGCTATTGAACAAAACTATTCAGGACTAAATTTCTCTTATTATTTCTAGATTATTATCATGATCCAAACAGGTTATCCCAGTCACATATGTTTCTTAGCAAAAGTTATGTTGGAACATTGAGTCCACTAGAGGAAGCAATTAATACTGTACATGGTTTCAGCTTATTTCTCATTCAGTATCTGCTTTGCCTGAATATTGTCGTCTTTAAAATTTGTTACAAGATCAAATGTCTTAACAATCCTCTGAAAAGGAGAAGTTTTATGAACCGCAGCTACTTTAATTGCAGCATCATAACAAAGGTGAACATGTTAGGGCAGCAACTAGTAGCGAATGGTATTTCTCTCTCTGTTTGCTATTTCAGCTGATAACAACAATTTCAGATGACTCAGTAGCCATTACTCCTTTGCCAGCCCACAACCGTAAATGAGAAACATGAATAAACAGTACCTGAAATTATGGTGAAGTTGAAGATTAGGTGTTGAGGAGGTGGCTTGGTTCATTGTGCCAATAATATACGGACTATTAAAAAAAAAATTAAGCAAATAAAACTTGTAAATTCAAATTTTTAGTAAGATCTCAACATTAAAAAAGGTTATTCAAACCTCTTTTGGTCAAAGAAGGTTTTTGTAGTTACTTATAACCAAATTCCCTACTGAGAATCTGACTTCTGAGAACATCAAATTCTGAAAGCAGAACAAAAATCTCAAAGCAGGATCTTTAACTAAAAATAGGGTTTTAGTACTGAAGATTCATTGCATGAAGTGAATGCAAATTACCCAAACCCTCTACTACTTTTTTTATTACTGATTTCAGAGGAATCAATCATTTTATGAAGGAAAAAACCTCTGAAGTGCTCTCCATAATACGGACATTCTGGCCATCTCAGTCCACCAAATTAATCTAGCGTTTGGTGTTGTGGTCACATTTTGCAGCGGCGGTGGTCTGACTGCGGTATTGATATTTGGAAGGTGTTCTGGTATTATTTCTTTACCATTTGTGGTATTTGCAGTTTAGAAGTCCATTAAAAATCTCTCCTAGGGAGCTAACGTGATGCAAATTATCCAAAATGATTACAAGCGGCATATCCACAGCATTATTTTCACTGTTACACTGGTCTGCTAGGTTAGACAGGTATTGGCGGAGTTCCTGCAAAGCATAGATAAAGAAAAGAAACAGAAAAAATACAAAAATAAAGAGTTTTTATCATATTTCTCAAAAATCCATTTAAGATAAATAAGCTACTGACTTTGTCATGAAATCTAAAGCAAAAGAGCCTGACATCATACAAATCCATAGATTTTCCACGGGAAAACAGAAGAATATGGGTTTCTTTCTCTTTTGCAGGTTATGCTGAAGATTCAAAGACTATATCAGAAATCCTGTGTGAGATAAGGGCCTAAGGGGGGTAATAGTTTGTCGTTTGGTTTGTGTTTTTTCATTTGTCCTGTCCTAATCTGACACTCACAGGGTCTGCAATGTACTTTTCTTTCTTTTCAGGAACTTGTTCAACTCTCCATACACCAAGCCAAACTCTGCATCCCAGCTAGGTTTGTTATCCCTTCTTCCAGCTGTGTGTTTATTAAAATACAGACGATAAAATCCATCTGGAATAAAGCAGCCCTCGGCAGAGGCCAAATTCGGACGCCTTCGGTAATGCCGAAAAAGAAGGATGAGCTTGCGGGGCTGCTGCGGGGTGACCGGGTGCGGTCGAAATGCTCTCAGCAGCTTTAAAGCATTTATTCCAGACCATGTCTCAAATTATACCAGGTCTACCAACCACAATTTCAACCACCCCTTTCCTCCAGAGGAAAATATGCCTAAGGCCATCAAATATACAGCTTTTTTATTTTTTTTTCATCTAGATGTTCACCGGAGGTGTGCATTCAGCAAAACCAGCAGCACCTAAAAAAGCAGAGACACGCCTCGCCGGCGCGGGAATGTGTCCGGACAACAGTCACTCCAAACCCAGCATATGCAGATTACGAGTGCTGATACTTGCAGCTGCAGGAACTCTTGACAGCCTAGGGATGCATTTGAGGGTTTTTTGGAAAAAGGCCCACATGCAAGAGGGATTGCTTAAGTCGCTGGGAATTTTACGCAGGTGTTTAACTTCCTCGGCAATTCTCAGGCTCCTAACCACTTGAAAATGGTGACACCTTTAGGTGTTTAAATATACACCTGGAAGCCCTCTATTTCAAGCCCATAATCAGGTGAATCTGCAGTTTGGAAAACCTTAAATATTATTCCCTTCAGGAATAACACAATGCTTTAAAAGGAAAGGTAAGTTTAAAATCAGCTTTGGATGGATGAATAAAGGAGGGGTCTCTCATTTTTGATATACGGTAGCATTAATTGTGCAAGGATGATTTTGGTTTCCTCACCTTACTGGATTTATGGTCCACATTGAAGGTTGCAATAATGCCATCGGCCAACTCCCTGCCCTCTCTAAGGACCATATACTCAGAGAGACGGTTTGCTAGGTATGTTTTGCCGGTGCCACTGGGGCCAGATAAGATAATCCGTCTGTGTTCCATCAGGAGAGAGACGTAACGCTGCAGTATAGGCTTTGGGATCAGTGATTCAAACACCAGACCGTCCAAACTGTTCTCACAGATACCTGCAACAGGAAAAGATTCCTCATTTAGCAGGATTCCCAATTTTTACCCAAATTACCTATGTTTTTAAAAGTTGGGGTTTTTTTTATGAAGTAGTTGTAATGCTGCGATGCAATCCTGTTAGTGGAGTTTCAACAAATCAAGATTAGTTTAAATGACTAGATAGGCAAACCAGAGAACTGAAAAATGTGATTTTGTGAATGTACCTGGGTGCAGTAATAGTAAGAAAGAGGAAGAAATAGAAATGGAAATAGGAGAACACCCCAAAATAATACTTAGAAACAATAGATTTAGATCTGACCTGACCAAGCGGTTTCTCACTGCAGAGATAAACCCCCTCCCCACTCTGGGATCCCCCGTGGTCAAGAGGAGCACATATAAAGCTGGTAAAACAAGTGCAGAAGTGACCTACGGGCTTAGCCTGGATCCTCCGTCAGCTCTCCCAGCTCTCCATGTACTCAGCTGCATCCTACAGTGTCTATGGCCCTACGAAAGTTGCTAGACAAATGATTCCAGGCCACTTTTTTCACACACAAACCACCCATTTTGCAGGATTTTGCCACGTACGGTACGCATTCATCCAGAATTTACCTGTTTACTTTTGAATCACTAGACAAACCCCCCCCAGCTATCATCAACTCCCCCTGCTTTCCCAAACGCTGGTAATTAAGCTCCTTCTCTGTATGCTGATAGTTATCTCTTCTAACTTAAAACTCCTACTGATAAGCGTTTACGCAATGTCAGCAGTCACTTTAGGCAGAATTGGCTCCGGGAAAATACACAGCGCCGCAAAATAAACAGCAGAAGGGGAAGTTGGCAGATGACACAGAGAAATGTTTGCACCTCAATGGCTGCTTGGAATATTAAATATTTATACAGGCGGCTTTATCTCTCAAAGGTATATGTAAGTGATTTTCCATAAATTGATTAAATACATTTCTATTTTATTGAAAACTGTTCCCATATATGAACCTTCAAAGTACAAGTCAAGCCAATACAAGTTAAATATAAAATCAGATTGCAGCTTCACAGATATAGCTAGACTTTAAGCTGTATTTCAGTTGGGATTTACTATTGGACAAGGTATTCTAAGCAAGCAGAATACCCTGGGTTCACATCAAGCCGCAGTAAATTGAGCCACTTCATGGCTTATTTGGTCTTCCTACCCACTGATTTGCTACCCAAGGAAATTGATTTTTTTACACCGATATTCAAAAAAATCACACTACTTTCAGTTAAGTGCCACAGCCAAATTTCAAAGCTGAGCTGCAGAGCATTTGGCGCTCTCAAACACTCTACCACCTGTATGCAGATCTATGCTGGAGATTTCACTGGTGTAACTTCGAGCAAACTGAGGTACATTCAAAATGCAGCGGTTGAGAATTTTTTTCCCCTCAAACCTATATATGAGAAATATAAGCATTACATTCTTATCAGTGTGTTATAATGAAATTGATGAGAATTCTGAAAACCATACATTTTCAAAAAAATCCAGATTTTAAGGTGTCTCAAGAATTCTGGGATCCCTCCCTTCCTGGTGCCTAAGGAGGGACCCTTCAGCGAGACCAATCGAGAACGTTAAATCAAGAATTTTTTTACTCTGCATGAAAGAAATAACTATAGCTGTTGCAAAGAGGTAATGAAATTCTGAGGCTTTATTCATTTGGCAGGTACTTTGCTGCACGAACAACTCCACTACGTCCCTTACAGTGTGAGGTCGTCTCCAGCACAACTCCAGGCATCAGTTCATGATACGTGGAGAAAATTGCTGCGTGTATAATTATTCCTACGGTTAGAGGTTGAAAATTTGTTGAATTTATAGACTTAGCTTACTCTAAGTGCTGTCTTTACCAAATGAAAATAGAAGGACCAGTAAATAAAAGGCAGGGATGGGAAAAAGAAACACAATAATAAGGTCCTACTCCTCTGAGTTTCTTGACACAGCAAGCTTTGATAAAACTGCAATTTCTGAGAACTACAACAGGCAGGTCAAGTGTAATTACTACCTTTGATGGTAACTGAAATAGTGTTGTTTTCTCCAACTAGATAGCCACAGGGCAAGAGCTCAGGTGTCTCTGCACTGTTGGTGCGTTTGATTTCTCCAATGCTGTAGCCCAGAACACTGTCTGAATTCAGTCCCAGCTGGCTCACAGGATCCACATGAATGATATACTCCTAGGGTCAAAAAGGGACATGAAAAGTGAGGCAGCATCGAAATCTCGGTGACTTTGTTCTTACGCTATAATAGTAACAATCACAGCAAGTTAAATATTGCTCAGTACCATCAAAATCTAATAGGAGAATTCAAGCACGCAGCAAGTTGTGCTCACCAACCTTAAACAACCGTCTTACAACCCCATCCAGAACATCCCATTTGGTCTTGCCACTGACTCCGATGCAGCCTATGAGGAAGGTGCGAGGCCTCGAATCCTAAATGCATAGAAATGTGAATTCAAGTTAATAAATAAATCCTAACTGTATCAGACAAGTCTGTTTAATGTAATTAAAACGCTGGCTTTTTTTTTTCCTTTTCTTTTTTAAATTATGGTGCATCTTCACCACTCTATATGGCGAATTCTGAACGCTATCTGAAATCCTTCTTTTCTACCAGACATTTTCTACAGTGTTGGAAGTCACAGATCAAAAAGATACTTAAGTGGTACTGATGTTAAGTAAAAGGCATTTATTAATCAATCCATCTCTGAGAGGCTTACAGACTCTTAAGAAAATTCTCGGCAGAAAAGTTCACGTCATATTCATCTTTCTGTGATTTCACAGTCAAGTACATTGCATTTGCAAGCTTTACTCTATCTACTTCTAGAAATGCTGCCGTGGATGCAGAAATCTAAATATATTTATGGTTATATGTATAGACAGTTACATATAGAGAGAGTTTTAGAGAGAGATACGTATTTATATATAACAACTGCCATGTTATGTTGGGTATATCACAGCACTTTAGTTGATAATTTTGTTTCTGATTTCTAAGGCAGGTAAAACACCAGTACACACACCTCAATTTTCTATCCTTCTATAGCTGCACTCATTGTGAAACATTCATTGAAGAAAAACTAATTTCTATGATAAGACTTCAAGTTCAACTAAAACGTAAGGAATCACTTCCGTGTGGCAACTTTACTGACTGAGCACAGTGGAGTCCAATAGAATTAGCAGTATAGTTTTACTGTTAATTTGCTTATCCGGGGCTGTAATTTATTAATGCAAAATTGGTATTTAATGGAAAGGTCTGCTGAGTCAATTTTATTTCTGATTTCAATTTTTTGTGTGTCCTCCCCCTTACAAAAGGCATCAAATTATTTCTTAAATACACTTTTATAGGTATTCATAATGTGAGATAGCAAGGTCCGTTCTTGGCAAAGATTGTGCGGTACATTCATGCATGCATGAACACACATGAGGTGGGCTGCGATTTTAACATATTCTGAAATTTATCTGGATATTTAGGATTCTTTCAGTTACTTGAGAATGGAGAACATGTGAAAGATGTAATTCAAAACGGGAAACTTGTACCAGAGGGGAAAACATGGGCTAGAAGAATGACATCTCCCAGTTTGGATCCATTAAGTTCTTGCAGAATATTGCTGCTTGAAGCATTTTGGTGCACCTTCTATATACACACTGGATCATTTCCATTGTTAGTTAAAATTTTATTGAAGTTTAACAGAAAGGCTGAAGAGCTTCCTGCAGCTTTTAATGCATCACTCTTAAACAGATGCTATCCCAAGGTGCCGACTGGTCTGCTAACTTCCCTGACGCTGAAAGAGTGGCCTGGTTTTCAGAGATACTACTGAAGGGCTTAAACTGTAACGTTATCACCTACACCGCTGACGCACGGCCTAGTCCAGCAATCCTGCGTTACCGACATGCTCCGTGGCCAGTGCCGATGTCACCGACAAGAAACTCTAAAATAAAAAGCTATTGCAAGTGAGTCCATGAGACAACCTGAACCAGTGGTGTCGGCTCTCGGCAGTTCCAAGGAACTAGCGATACACCGATGAACTATTTTACAGAGAAAATTCTAAAAGAATCTTCTGCAAATAAAAGCCTCCAAAACAAATTGGATTTGAACTCTCTGCCCCATTCCACAGTCACTTATATTTCAAACCTGGGGATGAAACACAACTCACCTCCTTCCATTTCATCTCATCCTGAAAGTTGACAACTATTTTGACGTGCCTGCCTCCTTCCTTCCGGGCAGAGCCATCTCCAGTGTCATCTAACAGCATGTCTGTGAACAGAAAACGTCAACAGCTTCACAGCTGTATCTTAATAACACTGAATACTATTCTGGTTTATGCCAACACGTTTATTGCAGCCAAGCACAACACAGCTCAGAGGTAAAACTTAAGAACCAGGTTTACTGACTTCCCTACCAAATATCAGTATCACTCTTAAAAAGTGAAGGTCATTGAAAATTACAGTTACTCTTTATTTTCCTTCCTATGATATATCCCCTGGCAAATGGACACCAGTAAATGGCTTTAAACATGACTCTTCACAGCTGAGGTCATAATTGGACAACTCCGATCTAGGGTGTAGCAGACCTATGACGACATTTTAAAAGAAGGCTTTATGCCAGCTCCTGACATATTTCCACACCTCAACTGTTAATAATTTTCATGCTTTCATTTTTCCATGGCTAACCAAACCAAATCTTCCAAGTGCAGGATAAAACCTGCCCACCGCCTTTCTCATTAAACTCACCGAGACTGGTTGACTCCGTGAGGTTCAAACTGTGCTGAGAGAGACCCACTGAATGTCTTGGAGAGGATGAAATGGAAACCTGAGACTGAGCCCTGCTACAGCTGCCGTGGTTTTCAGATTTCAGACGATCATTTTCTGCTTTTAATTTTTCAATCTCACTCTTGAAAAGACAAGTCAGGAGTTAGAATGCACAGTGAAAACATACACTTAAAAGAGAGCAACGTAAGTAACTTAAGAATAAATACTAGTTTAGTAGAAATGCCATTTTCGTATTATTTTAATTTATTTTAATAAATTAATTATTCTAATTATTACAACAACTCTTCCATGAAACTTTTCAAAGTATCCTAGAAAACATAAGTATGTGGGAATTCGCTAAACATTGATGTGCAGCTACTTCAAGGCAGAGAGCATGGGAACATTTTAAGAGGTTGCTGACAGTCAACAAAACCATCTCCCCATAGGTTTCTAGGGTTGAAACAGTTACAGCTGCAGAGTTGAGGGCAGCAGAACTCATGCGTTCAAGCTGGCTTTTAACAAAGGTCCGAGGATGAACACTGGCACAAAGCTAGACATAACTCTTAGTAAGCATTCAAAAACTTCAAATTTACCTTCTTTCAGATCTTTACTGTGTGGCAGGTTGGCCAGTCTTTAACACATCAACATAGACTGCAATATTTGGGGTGGTTTTTTCTTACCTGCATTCTGTTCATCGCCTCCCGAAGCTGGTCAAGCTGATGAGCGGAGCTAAGGGCTTCTAGACGAATATCCGTCAGCTTCATCTCCTTGTCCCTTAGCTCATTTCGTAACTGCATGACCGTTTCAGCTTCACTGTCAGTGCATTCAGAAATACTAGAGAAGATTGGAAAATAGACATTGAACAAGACCATTTGTTACTTTGCAGATAGTGCTACTCCATCATTTATTAGTAAGGGAGGGAAAAAATCCTTTTGTTCTGCAGGAAGCAGGCAACAGTTTTGGCTTATTGGGTTAGTGATACCATAAATCAGATACTAAATAGGTCATGGAAACATTAGACTATTGAAATAAATATGTCTGAGGGTTATTTTCCTTTAATCAGCATCTGAAACAGAATTCTGGAAGTCACCTACTATTGGATAGTCTTCATTTTTTTCCATGGTAGTTGCCATAAAGGAAAACTTCTAAAGCCAAAATCTAAATAAATTAAGGGGGTGCAGGCAGTAACAGCAGTTGGTTGGAGATTGATGAGTTTACAGACAGATTTAAAGCTCACCAGGTGTGCACAGCTGGGTTTCCCTGAACTGTTCTGGAGGGCTTTAGAACTCTACACCTATTGAAGCGCGATAAATTCCTGCTTGCTTTAAAGCACTCATGCTTAAAAAATTTTTGGTGGCATTTTTCTTCTGTCCTCCCACAAAAAAGGATTCTGGCTGAGTAACATTTCAGCACATTTGTAAGTGTATCTATATAAAGATCAACTACACAGCTGCATGCTTTGAGGGAGATTTCATTTAAAAATGTTTCTTCCTAAATCAGGTTAACTTGAGATGTTTTCCCCTCCAAAAAGCCAGTAAGACAAAATACACAAGTTTTACTTGTGCTCTAGCCTTCCCTCAGTTCGCATCTTTACTCTTTTCTCCTGTTTAGCCTTTTGGCTTTCATGTCAAGACGAGACGTGTGCACATCGCATTTTGACTGGCGATAGATGGGATCATCATTTGACAATTTTCTGGTCTTAGATTTCTAAAGCACAATTTGCTGTAGTCACCAGAAATTCACTGAGTTAGGCTCAAGAGATTGGAGAAGCTTTAAAAAAAATTCACAGGGGATTATCTTCTGCTACTAACATTTCATCCTTATTATATGGCTGGAAAATACTGCTATTGTTTTCACCTCTTCATGTGAAAACAAGTGATGGGCAAAACTTACTCAAATGCATTCAATCTGAAATCAGGCTGGAAGCTTTGCTTGACATCTACAAGGTCGTGAGGCTTTTCTGGTAATTACATGTTTCACAATACTGCCTCTTACAACTTTCTGTATTTATTTATCCTACTCAAGTGATGAAGCTACTGATAGAATTAAGAGACAATCTATTTTACAGAGTTTCCCAAGCACATTGTAAAAATGTGAGTTTAGACTCAAAACAGTGCGGTAACGCAATTATTTAACTTTATTTCACAGGTGGCCGAAATGAAGCGTCAAGATTGCCTGTGACCTTCCCACGAACATAAAAACAGTTCAGCAGCAGGGCAGAAGTCCTGACTTTAAAGTCTACATCTCATTCTCATACACACATAATCAGAAGGTTATCGTTTGGTCCTACAGATGAGCCTATACAATAGCTTGCTACTACCCAAAGGACACGCTTCTTTCTCACTCCTCTTCCCCAGCCTGCTCCTGGCTGTGCTGCTGTCATGCCCCTGTGCTTATGCCAGCTCTGGCACTCCTCAGAGTCTGATCAGACCCCTGAGATGAGCCAACTCACAGCAACCTGGGGAACTAAACTGTTCATGTTTCTGTCAAATTATTTGTCACATAATTTAGCACGTTGCATCAGCTCAGAGGAGTTGTCTGAGAAGCAGCAGAGCCAGTGCAAGGGAAGGACCAGGCACAGGTGGCTGGGGAGGTATGAAGAAATGAGGAGTGGCCTCAAGTTGCGCCAGGGGAGGTTTAGACTAGATATTACACAAAATTTCTTTACGGAGAGAGTGGTCAAGCATTGGAACAGGCTGCCCAGGGAGGGGGTGGGAAGTGTTCAATAAATGTGTAGACGTGGCACTTCAGGACATGGTTTAGTGGGCATGGTGGTGTTGGGTTGATGGTTGGACATGATAATCTTAAAGGTCTTTTCCAACCTTAACGATTCTGTGATTCTGTGATCTCCATCAGGCACAAGCTATTAGATGAATGTATCAGTTCAGCTGTATCATTAAACCATGCTGTTTGATTTCCAGTAAATCCTCACCTTTATCTGAATTTGTCAACTTAATTAGGAACTCATCACTGCAGGTTAGTACAATGTGTGCTGCCTCTAGCCAACAGAGAAAACAAAACCTTAGTCTTGGCCTGGCTTGTTTCATTAACAGCAAGAGGTCCAATTAATTCTGCACTGCAAGGTCACCCTGGTTATAAATACTCTCCATACTCAGTATGTTCTGCTGAGAGAGCATCCCAATGAAATACTAAATTATACTACAGTAATGATGCAACGATTTTGGCTTCCTGGACACTAATGCAAAGAGGTACTGGGTTGGGAGCCAGCTTACCTGTCTCTAGTTCCCTGCATAGATAAACTCAACTTTTTTGTCCTCTGCCTGTAATCTACTTCGACTACAGAACATTCAAAATAGGCAGTAGTTGAAAGTGTGATCTTTGCTCGTTGTTTTGCCAGTATGACAGGGTTAAAGATTCTACCCAAAACACTTAGCAAAACGCTGCTCCCCTATGGGAGGTCATGTAAGCGATGCTTGGGAGTAGGGTTGATCAGTGGACACAGACCAGCCCTGATCTACTGGACAATCCTGTCTGGCCAATGGCGTCTTCTGCTGCAGTCCCATGGTGAAGAGCTGGTTTTAGCAGTGCATGTAACTGAACAGCTGTCAGACTCTTGCACTGCTCATACAGATGTGCAGATTTGTAGAGAAACCAAAGGGGACAGGATGGTGTAGGGTGCATTTTGCCTCTGCTTGTTTCTGTAAAGTGACCTAGAGATGTCCTGTAGAGCTAGCACGGAAAACACTGGATCTCTCCAAAGCTCGCTATTTCTCTTTTCCTCTACCAATGCAGGAAGATGCTTTCCACTCCATTTTCTATTTAGAAATTAAAAAATCACTTACAGAGAATTGGAATGGGAAGCTCTCAGCAATGGCGTTGAAACAGTAGAGTTATGGTGTGGGAGCTTCGGTGAAGAAGGTAACGAAGAATCAGTCATCTCCTCAATATCTGAATGAGAAGATGCTGACTTGGGAGATTTCTTTTTACCAAAAGCTTGCTTGAAGGAGCTGCGTAACTGAAAAAACAAGACCACAACAGTAGGCACACCATTAGGCAAAATGAAACCAAGCAAAAACCCCCACAGAGTAAAAACTCTAACATGCAAATACTCCAAATAATACAGCCACACTCATATATATTTTAATGCAGGTAAACAAGAATAAAAAAGCTTTTTTCTCTTAACTATTTTATGAGATTAATAAGGTCAATAGGACTGGCTATCAATGCTTCCTCTTTACAGCGTGTCGTGACAACTTGCAGCTATGATGTAAGATGGCTCAGACAAGGTTAATGATGCTGGAATGGTTAGTGATGTACATGGATGGGTTAGCTTTGTGTCTCATAGTTTAAAGTAGGTCTTCCTTACCTCATTGACCTGCCGGAAGAAGCGCAAGCAAAAGGAAGTGGGGGAAGGAAAAAAGACATGTTTTAACAGATAAAGCCAGTGATAAGGAAAGCTTTGGATTTCTAAGACAAACATGACCAATAATCAACAGAGACCAACAGTTACTCTAAAACTGGAACCCTGAATTTTCCAATACCAGGTGTTTCAAACAATATACGGTTGTTTTTTTGCACTACTTGAGGGAGACACCAGACCCAGACCTCTTAACTATTAAAATTATACTTTCTCCTTAGCTCAGACAGAATGTTTTGGCTGACAGCCAAGTTAACACTGTGTTTTTCCTTGCAGGAACAGGTATTTCACCAGGTGAAAAGACTGAATCTTCTCTACCTACCTGCAACTAAAATAACTTTTTAAATGTGATTGCCATTTTCCAAACAACAAAAAGAATGAATATTCACGTGGTTAAACTGATGTTATCCTGAAGTTACAGTTCAACAGTTAGTGTTCAAGAAGCATTTGGACAATGCTCTTAGATATGTGGTTTAACTTTCAGGGTGCCCTGTGTGGAGTCAGGGTTTGCACTTGGTGATCCTCATGGGTCCCTTCCAACTCCGGATGCTCTACGAACACCGTTTAACACTACTGCAAATTACATGGTGTAAACAGGCTGGCTTAATATGAGCTGAAAGTTATTTTTAAACTAGACAAAGACTCCTACAGTGAGAAATGCTGAAAATCTGGTGTTTCAGCTCTGAATGTACAGCTGCATTGCTTCTATATATAACAAAAAGATCTTGGCTGAGAAATTGCTCAGTATTTGTGGAATAAACAATGTGTGAATCAGACTCAACTTACATATTTTTCTCAGTAAATTACTGATTTACTCTCCAATCTTCATTTTACAGCAATGATGTACTCATTTTTAACAACAACGTAAAAATACTGTCCCTTTTTTTCCTACTTCATGAAAACTTTATTTCTCTTTATAATAAGGAGATGTTTCCTCAACCTTCTTTAAAAATAGTCATCCGATGAATGAGAAGTGTAGGCTGATGTAGGATAATATCAACTAGGTTACAATAACAAAGAATAGAAGCTAAAGGAAAAATTTAACAAGTTTTTAACTTAACTAAGGCTTAATGATTACAAAAGCCTTATGTCACAAACTAAGAGTCTCTAGCAATTTAAAGTTATAGCAGTTTATTTTGGCTATAACTAACATATAACCCAGCACAAGAAGGATTTGGAGATGACATTGTTTCCATTCAACCAATTATTTAAGGGGCAGAGTGGAAATACTGCTATTATGAAGGGATATCACAATGAAATCACCGAGATAAGAGAGAAATAAAACCAAGAACCTGCTCAGGAAGCTCTTTCTTACAGTTCAGGTGTTTCATGAACATTTCCGAGAGGACATTGTGCAAATACAAGTCAAGCTTTTACCAGCTCACACCACATTTTGTATCTATACAGATCTATCTGTACACCCAGAAGATCCCGGGAGATCTAAATTCAGCAAGAAGGAAGGGTTGGATTGCTTTATTGGCTACAATAAAGGATCTAGAGACTTTAGTCCAAACTACGATCAGACTACGTCACTAAGGTAGTTATGGTCTAATTGAAAATGGAGTTTAGTATAATGTACCTTTCCTCCAGTACAGGGTACCTTGTACAAAGTACATGATGAGCAAAGAAGGAAAAATGGGAAATGACAGGTAAGTATTGCAAAATCTTGCTAAATAAATGTCTATCACAACAAATTTTTAAAAACGCTTTTTTGTTGTTGTAGAACTCCATGGTAATGTTCAAAACAGAGTTCTTAAAATATTTAACATGTTCACTTAAAAGAAAGCCCTATGAGCCAAAAAGAAAATAAAAAAAAGTAAGAATGATCTCCCATCGTGGAATTGTTTTACTTTAATGACAGACGTTGAGTTTTCCCCAAGGGGTTGGACATCGTATTGCTTTTAGCCAGGATTGATCTTTGACAGCTATTTCTAATTTAAGAGTGGCCTTTTGGCTGTTAAGCTAAAATTCAATCCTAGGCAGAGTCAACACATTCATATACATCACTTATGACTCAATTAAGCCTTCAAAAGAGAGTTTACACAGGATTTAAACAGTGCATAGTCCTTGTGCTGACCTGTTGCATGAGGGGAAGAAGGAGGAGCTGAGCAGCTAGATTTCACCGTGCATGTTCTGACAATTTTATATGAACCTCACGCAACCTGTTAAAATACACTCACCCAGTTCTTCCTCTTCTTTTTCTTTGAATCACTCTCTATGTTGCTTCCCACGCTGGAGTGACTGGTAGCACTGTTAATACTGGAGACGCTATCTGAAGAGTGCTGCCTTCGGATCCGCAGGTCTGTGGGCTGAGCAGCTCCAGGTCCTGAGTATGAATGAGGGCAGTGTCAAAATTTTGTAAGAAATTTGATGTAAGTGTAAATTACTGGGATATGTAAGAGAACTGAGATAAGACAGGACTTCATTCAGACTTTATATTGGAAATTACTGAAAACACCGAAGAAAATAAAGCCAAGCGCCTAACAGCTCTGACATGGGGAACTCTGCTCCCTGCTGCTCCACATCAGGGTCTGGATGGGTGAATTACTAAATGCTTACAGTAAATTCAGTGAGCTCACACTGAAGGTGGAAAAGCTTTGTGAAAATGCCTTCTCATCTGCCCAACACACGCGTTTACTTCTGTAGATATTGACCGCACTATTTACACAGATACCCATTTCAAATCCCCACATGGTACCAAAACAAGCCACTAGAGCACGGCCATTAGACAAAGCTGGTCTCTGATGGTTACGTCAGATATTACCCAGAGGTCTGAAGTCCCAGGAGCACCACACAGTCACCAAATGTAGTGCTTGCTTCTCACCTTTGCAGTTGAGCTCAGGTGTGTTGATGACTCCATTGATGGCAGCCTGGGCAGCAGCATTTTGCTTCTTCAGTAGTTCAATAGTCTTCCTTAACTCGTTCAGTTCGGAGTCCTTGAATAAGAAAGAAAAACAAAACCAGTCATACGCTGGAAAATGCAGATGGTACCTAACTACTCCAAAGAAGCCACGTTTCAATCTGAGCATTGGTAGTTGATAGAGAATTTATGGAATATATAAGTGCAAGGAGATGAAAATGAGGTTTGGTATACCCGGGGAAGCTCACCCTCAAGAGGCTGCAAAACGGCTTGGTTATTCTGATACAAAAAATGTACATGTTCTGTAATATGGAAACAATGTATATTCAAGTATACTGTCCAAAAACCCAAAGTTACCTGTCTTGCAAGGATTTTTCTTGGTGTTTCTTTTGAACACGCACATGTGTGAATGCACTGGCAAGAAATTTATTACAAAAATATGCCAAACTGAAGACTTGTGTCCAAAGCAACAATTTATAGGAATAACCTGACGAGTTGCCACAACACATCAGTGAGGAAAATGAATATTTTGTACAAAATTTGTTACATTTTACTCCATCACCACAATTGAGGAAAACAAGGCAAACGGTGTGATTTTTTTTTTCCTCCCCAACAACTACAGAAGGAGCACGAGCAACACTGCTGGAACCAGAAGTTAAGACTTCCACAAAAACTTCTCAAGCTTGCCTTTTGTTCTGCTGTCATTGTCAGGCTCTGCAGTCTGATCGTCATGTTCCCCAGGCTCTGCTCAAATGCTGCCACCAGGTGAGCCTGAAAGTTAAACCATACAGAAGTAGTTTGTTCTCTCCCCCCAAAACAAGACTGTTTCTGCAGGTATTTAAATAGACCACGTCCTGCACCACATTGTTCGTTGTGTAAATGCTACGGAGAAAATAAGGCCGATTATAAAAGGTCAAATGAGTAGAGCATACGTTGTGAAAATGCTTGCGAACAAATTACCGGGAACAATGTAATAGAGAAACACCAAGGGTAACAGACCAATTTCAAAATTTTAGAAAAGGACAGCCCTTTCGTGTACAACTACTACTAGCAGCACGCTGTGAAATGATGCAGTTTCAGGCTATAAGCCATGCCCTGCTCGGCAGCAGCTTTAGAAAACAGAGACGTAGCAGTAACACGGTGACCTGGCACATCAGTAGGTGATTTCCCGGAGGTGGCTCCTCAAGTCAGCTGCTACATCCACTTCTTTAATACTCTGATTTCAACAGGCAGGACAGTTATCTCGGACATACTCTAACAGAGCAGCAAAGTAGTTTTTTTTCCCCAGTTTGGAATTCTCATTTATTCTGTAAAATGTGCTATCCTACATCCAGGATACATAAAGAACAAAAACACCTCCTGGGTCCCTAGGAGTTAAGGTCCTTTGAAGAGCCACATCTCAAACTAATCCAGTTCATGTACTTTTCTCAGTTGTTTAAAGTCGCTTGGATTTTGTGATAAATGGAAAACACATTTCGCCACTTTGTTGAAACAGACATATTAAATACAATTGTTTTTTTGGAAACATCTCACAGATTAAGTAATTGAGGCTTTTAAAAGGATGCTTCAGGGAATACGCCTTGACACCTGATAGTATTCCTGATACCAAAAAGGCATGGAAGGATGTCCTTGGTTATCTATGCATGTCCCCAAGCTATTGCAAACAACGACATGAAAACACCTCCTATCACAAAATTTAGAGAGGAAAAAGAGATAAACCCATCCATACTTCTAAAAATCACCTGCTGTTCATTTTTGAAATCAGACTTTGACTTTTTATGTGGGCCACTATTAGCACATATAAGGTTACTCAGTGATAGTTCTCAGCTACTGTCACACAACTGAGGTAACTCTCGCCACAAAGCTTTTCACAAAAAGTTTAAATCTTTTCCCAAAGAATATAAAAAAATCCAAAACATCACTCCTAAGTTTTAGGAGGATTCCCTAAAAAGTAAAATAAAATAGAAAACAGTAAATATAAAGAAAGCTTTTAGAATCATAGAATCTTTGGGTTGG